AGAGATGAGAGAGGTCGCACTTTTCAATTTTTTTAACTAAAAATGCAAACTTTCTAGTTTATTTCCTCACATTTTAAATTTAAAGGGGTGCTTTTGAAAGAAAATTTTACGAGAAAACCAATGGAACCACTTTTAGAACCTCAAAGCTTTGTATAAACCGAGTTATAAGCTTCGAAAGTTGGCAAATATATGACCTCTCCGAACGACTCGGTCCACTGCAGTGTTCAAAACTCATCTTTGAGTTGTAGGAGCCAAGTGGCGCATCAAGCCCGATTTTTAGGCGCCACTAAAGATTTTTGAGGGGCCAAATTGACTTTGTGCCTGTATATTACAGCGCATTTAGTGAAAAGTTAGACACAAGATGTTTTCGTAACAGAACTAGTAAGCAGCTGTAACTTGCGGAAGACAAAAGCTCCGCCGCGCCGCGGCGAAATTGCGCGCTTAACATGGCGCAACGGCTCGCATTTTGCGAGTTCAATCCGGTGCCGTGCGTGGACATTTCGAATTATCACCTGATATGAAAATTCAGATTTTTAAGGGGAAATTATCAGGGGCCACGTTGGCGCAGAGCCTTCATTTCTTAGACGCCATGGCCGATTTTTTAGGCGCATTTGGCGCGTTGGCGCCTGTGAGTTTCGAACACTGGCCCACTACTCCACTGTGCGCGGCGACTGGGAAACTGGAGCAAAAATCTGAGGCACGAGGCCCCGGCCGCAGGACGACGACCGAGCCGAAGACAAGTCTGAGCGACTAAGTCGTGTGACGTGGAGGTCGGCGTCGAGGCCGGAGAGCGGCCCGCAACGTCGCCCTCGGGTTCCTCCAGGGATCGCGCTTCCACTCCGGCAGAACCTAGTGAGTGCCGCTCGACTCGGAGCCTGGGAATAAAGTCCATGCACTTATTAGAAGCGCATTTCTGCCTTAGTTAGGCAATGGGCTGTGCCGCTGTCTTCTATTAGGGCTCCTACTCAAAGCCGTTCCTTGAAAAACTCCTTCAGAGCTGCCACACACTTTCAAAGATTCGTTTCCCTCGCATTTCCCTGCTTTGTCTAACATATTTCGCTCAAATTTCCTGACAATGGAGATGTTTCATGTGTGAGGGATTTGCGATTTGACCATTGATTTTTATGTAAAAGTTCGCGAGAAACACGATGGTGCTACTGGTTTTTTTCTGAAATCAACTCCCAAGCTCAAAAAAAGCTCTTAAGCTGAGGCCAAAATGGAGGGGATATCCCATCCTACCCTGAGAGTCCACCTCTACATCAAGACAAACTCTCCATGCAAAGATAGGAAGCAAATACATTAGCAGTGATGCCGTGTTCTCAGTTTTAAAGTCCCCAAATAAAGTGGCAGCCCTGTCAATGTATTTGCTCCCGATCTTCGCATGGAGAGTTCGTCTTGATGCAGAGGTGGACTCTCAGGATAGCGTGTGATAACCCCTCCATTTTGGCCTCAACTTGAGAGCTTTTTCTGAGCTTGGGAGTTGATATCAGAGAAAACCAGTGGCACCATCGTGTTTCTCGCGAACTTTTGCATAAGAATCAACAGTAAAATCGCAAATTCCTCACACATGCAACATCTCCATTGAATCAGTGAAAACGAAAACACACCAACTTGGAAACTCGAAAATGCTGAATTTCCATTAAAAACAGTTACATAAAGGCCATTGAAGTTAGCGCGTCTGTTCCAACTTGGACCTTTAAAAGTGTCTATAAGTACTTGTCTCTTAGCAGCAAAAATCTTCTTCTTAAACTAAGTTCTTCACCTACTGTGCAGTTTTTTGTGTGCCTTGATCATTTTCATTTACCGAGTTGGTGTGCTTGCGTTTTCACTGATTCAATTCAAGTTATGCCAGATGCTCAAATATCACATCGGTAGACATAGGTTTCAGGAAAAATATCTTTCAAAACGTCATAAAACCCATTCTAAAAAGTAAATAGAGGTTTCTTATTAATTTTTTCCTCACACTTTCATCATTTCCCCTCGCATTTAAAGGTTTTCCCTGAAATTTTCCGGCCTTCTCCGTTATTCTCTGGCTGTGACAACCTTGCTCCTTTCCTTAGAAGACCCCATATCGATAACTAAAGTGAGACACCCCGTATCTCCATTGAAATTGTTAAAAATCTCCGCTCCTGGTTGATTTTTTCAAAGAGGAACAAGTCAATTTTAAAGCTTGAAAATATGTACAGAATATTCTGCTAACAGAGAGAATAATCAAGGAAGTTTTCAAGAAATTACGTTGACAAGTTTTCCAGGGGAAAAATAAAGTGTGAGAAGAAGTTTGCAACGTCGCAAACGGAGATATGTGGTTTCGCACTCAAGCCATCGATGTACATCGTGATTGAGGGAGGTTTATGTTGCAGTGCTATGGAAGAACGCCCGTATGAACATTCGAGAGTCGCCTAATTGCCTTCGATAAAATGTTTATTTTTGAGGAAAGTTAGGAACGTTTTTCCTTGAAATTTTCAGAATCTTTATGTAAAATTTTGCACCATCGTCCGAAAAATTCGGAAGAAAATATTCATAAAACCAGAAAATCCGAGTTTTATGAAAGGAAATTTGAAAACGCATGGATGATCATACGGCGTTCTTCCCTAGCACGGCAGTATGGAGATCCTCGACATACCATCATGAAAAGGACTTAGTTGGAAACCCTGAGGGTATTTCAGAAGAAGGACTTAGGAAATTGGTTGACTTGCCACCAGAAAGAATACAAAATAAGGAGGAAAATACACTGCGAGTTTGGTCAATTTTAAGGTGGGCAAACCCGCGAGGAAACTTGAATTATGTGCTGTATAGTTGTACTTCATGTAGAATGACTTTCATCGGAGTTTATCAGCATGTAAATCGAAAGCACTTCATAAATGAAATATGTTACATTTACATATGATAGGTAGTGTCAACAAAAATTGTGGCGCGCATTGTTTCAACAGATGTGACGGCGTCAAATTGTGACGCGCGTACAATACATTTATAGATAAACATTTGCCCTATGACATTCGTAGCAGACTTGAGTAATTTTTAGTGCTTCTTTCTTGTATGAAGAATTTTGTGTACAATCATTTTAAAATAGAATTCCGGGAAAAATGCACATTTAGATGAGAAACCGTACATAGTCAGGCATTACAATTATCCCTTGAATGAACGCTGCACAATGACGCTTACAATTTAAGTAACCCAACTGGCCAGCACTTTCATACATCCAATAGCGTCAAAGTTTCAGACTTCCTATTAATCACAACAGAGAGACACTCGGTGGTCTATTTCTGTACAAAGAGACTCTAAAACTTGAAAATTATGTGAAAAAACAACCTATATGTCTGATAGTACGGGAACGATATTGTATTGTAAAATTATGTGAATAAACCAAATTGTCCGCTTTTCTGCCTAAACGCAGTTAGCTGTGCTATGCATTTGTATGCATGTGCTGAGGAAGATCATCATAGAGCGTATTCGTGAAACAAATGAACAAACGGTCATCAAAACGGAAATGTGATTAAAAATTTAAATTAAGGTCAACGGCAGTTTAGAAACTACGTGGTTGGGAAACGGAGAAACACTAATTGTTTCAAGTCAAGGCTGTCAATGTTTAGTAATCATCTGAATTTTAGCAATTGATAAGAACCAAAAATTAATATTGTTCTCATGATAATCAGATATAGAAAAGACGGGTTTCTTTACAGATTCCAAGTTTTTGGATGGAATTACTTTTAGAACGTTATGTTGCTTGTGATTTGATTCGCCTGTCTACAAGATGTATCCAACGAAATTGAAAATTCAAGAAATAGTGTCGGTTATAGTGAGTGAAGGAATACTAGCCCTCTATACTTCTTCGCAGATCATATACAGGCGACACTTAAGAATACCTTGATTAAAATTCTTCAGCGTTCATTCCGTTAAGTAAATATACATTTGCGCAGTTTTTGAAGACTCCACGATAAGGTCGCACTATCTCCAGGCGATACAAACGATTGAAATAATTTACTTCAACCCGAGAATCATGTTTTTAGTTCCCAAGCTGCACTTAATTTTTGTTAAATATACTTTAAGTAATGAAGATAATTCACATATTCGGCAAAAAGATAATAATCAAGGTAAAGCTCGAGTTTCTATTTATTTTAATTCAACTAAAAACGCAAATAATTATGATTTACATACTTTGATTGGGACTTACTAATGATTTAAGTTAGTGACACAGTAGCTGTTAAAGGCAATACTGTACTCATCATGCACTCGCATTCTTCACTTTTAATAGCTTGATACACGCAGGGGGGTTTTTCCCCCTCCAATTGGAGCACAGTTTTTTAAAACATTTACCTAAATGGGTGACAAAATTTAATGAGAAGCAAAATACAAATATTGACGAAACAAGGCCAAGATAAAAGAAATGGAACAATATAATGGGGAAAACTGGAATCTTGATGACTCCCAGGAACATAGAACCGTAATGCGCGCTAGACACGACATGATAATAAAGAATATAAAACCAAAAGAATGTAAAACAAACACGGCAAAATTTTCGGAATTTCCTTTTTCTTCCTCATCTTCTGCTCATTGCAATTCAATGTCAGCCAATACATCATCTTTCCGCAAAGAAATAAGTATGGCGTACGGTTGTTGCTTCGTAGTTCTGAAAGCACCTTTCTTACTAATTGCTCTTCTTACGATTGTCTTACGAATCTTACGATTTGTTAAACTTATTCACATCCAGTCAAAAATTAAGGAAGAAACTACAAAAACGGAGGAAGAAAGCAAAGAGGAAGGGAGGAAGAGTAGGAAGAAAAAAAGAGAAAAATTCTTCCTCGAGACTCGCTTTAACGAGACCGTTCCGCGATACAGATAATGCCCAGTTATACGATCAAATTGAGCCATCGAATTGGGCCTCTCATTGGTCGCATCCTCACCTCAGGTCTTTTTCCACCAATCAGAGCTTCAGTTTGATGGCTCAATTTGATCGTGTAACTGAACCTTTAAAAACTTGTCGAAAAAACGTCCAAACTCACCTGAGTCGCATATACATGTTGCCGCTTTAAGTAGGAGGGTCCGGTGCAACGTTAATCCAAATAACTGCAGGGATGCACTATAGTTTATCGGGACACAAGGAGGACTTGGGTCTTTGGCGCGGCGCACGAACTAGTTAAATTGCGCAACATAACGGGGAGGAGTTCGAAAAATCGACTCGACAAGAAGCAGGAGACGAGGCACTTGTGGCCTCACGAATCCGTGTGGAAAAGCCGTATGCACTTGACAGTTTCACAGTTTCACAGTTCACCGATTGACACGCATTAAAGCTGGATCTGCTCCGGAAATAAATCAATTTATAGGACTTTCCTTCGATTTGTGTTGACACGCACTGCCTCGTCGCGTCATCCGCGCTGGGAGAGGAAATTCAAACTTGGCGCTTGCGTATTGATTCCCTGATAACAATTAACACTGATAAGGTGAAATTACGTCACTCTGTGGAATCGCCCACGCATGAGTCAAATCGTCGTTTCCCGCACGTAGGAACGTAACTGAATTTCAATGTTGCCAAATTACCTTGCGCTGATTGCAATTTTACCAGGAGAATTTCGGGCATTTCTGATTGAAAAAATTCACTGATTTTTCTTCTAATTTTATGCAAAAATCTGGCAAAAATCAGACCAATTTTCGAAAGATATTGCACAGGTCTATTGTTGTTAAATAATGAATTGTTCGATTCAATTTTGCAACCTTGGAATGCAGTTAAGTTCTTTCGTCCAGGAGACGAAGAAATTACTGCAACCAACTCATTGTCAGAATATTCGGGGGCGTTAAAAGAAAGAAAGCGTTTCTTTGTCGACGTTTGGTTGCGATGAGGGAAAAACTCGCTACGCCGAGTAAAATTTTAGTTGTGACAGCGAAATTTCCTTTGGGGCAATACTTTATTTATGCTGCGATAACCAACGAAATTTCATTGCAACGGAACCTCCATTCCATCGTCACAACTCAAATACTTTGGTATGATAAAGCGCGTGCCCTCTCTCAAATATTCTCCTCAGCTCAACCATGCTTGTTGCCAATAAAAACTTGATATTTTCTCTTTTTTTTTTTCTTTGTTGAATGATTAATCCGATCAATCTCGGAAAGGGAAGATCCACATTGGTTTAGGAAGCATACTTGACTAACTTGGGGGCTTCGCGCCTAGGGCGTTATGCGCCATTACCTTCATGAGTAAAATAAGGCACTAAAAGGTGGATGATACGGCTGGTACGCTTCGTACAGCAGTCAATTACAGGAACGTATTCAAGGGCGAAAAAAAACCTACAATTATCCGTTCCGTAACAATCGAGATAATTTAGAAATAGGTAAATCTCCCTGAAACCTAAACAGATAAAAAATTGTAACGGCTACGAGACTGTCTGCCTGGAGGACTATTTGTGTGTTGCTACTTTGTACGGCAAGAAATCAAATATAGCTAGCGTTTCATTCTTGGCGAACTTTGCGCGTAGAAAATCTACTAGACAGATATGGTTTACACCATAAGGACGGTCAGGTACTGGCCACACAATTTCCTACGAACCAAATACAAAGTTACATAGTCTACTTATACTAATCTTTTTCTTTTTCCTATGCAGTTTCGCATCATTATCATGATACTTCTATATGGTCAATTTGGCTGCGACTATCACTATGTAAACTGGCTTTCATTCTCTACTGGATCGAAGGATCACAATCGAGCAGTTACGGACTACGTCACAACTTATTGAGTGTTTAAGTTCAGTTGAGAAACTAATTTTAACAAACAAGGCACTCGTATCATCTGGGCGATAAGTCTAATAATCAACGATAAGTCCACTATCGATGATGAGTCCAGTCAGAAAGGCAGCAAAGGATATGTTAACCAGCACTTATTTGAGCAAAGTTTCACACGATGCGCAAATAGGGTTGATAATGGCGGAGTTCAATACATACAGTTCAAAATTTCGACGAATAATATGCTGTTATATGCGAGACAGAGGGGGGGGGGGCAATTTTTTCACATAGTGGCTTGGTTACGCAGGGAGAAATTTCATAATCAGATACGTGTAAACCTTGAAAATTACCGCTTTAATAATAATAATAATTCATATCCTGGGGAAAACAAGACGGACATTGTACTTTAATTATTTAGTTCTTCGATGCAGAGATTCACCCTAACCCAAACTCGTAATATATGATGAATTCCTGCTAAATTTTAACATCTATTATGACAAATTCCGACGGTTTTTGGCCCAATGACAGTTGAAATCTCTAAATAACCGTGACTTCTTCAAATTTGATTTTACGACGCAGCCCTAGTAACCGACCGCTTTAAAGCACTTTTTAAACACTCTTGAAAATAACTCTTAAATTAATTTTCACATAATTCCTTTTAGCTTAAATGCGTCCAATTTTACATGCTACCTAAGCTTTTTTTTCTTTTTCTTTTATTTGTTACGAGTATTACCTATAGCCAGAGGTTGCTCCTAGAAAATACCACAGAAAGCGCTTTGAGGGTTACACCGCGTAGCAAGACGAAGGGAGGGGGGCTTACTTGCCATGATGAAAGGGTGCACTTCGGCTAATCTACAGAGAACTGCAGAATTTGAGGCATAGTTTGAATGGAAGGCCGAAACTGGCGCGTGTGAGGAAGGTCTGTGTGAGAAGTCTAGAGCTGAGGTCGTTCATTGGCCCAATGAAAGGCAGCGCAATCGAATAAAAATTACTTGCACGTGTTGAACTTTTAAAGTGAAAAGCCGAAGCTAACCCGAAAACAAGTGACATAACACGGCGGACGGACTTTGTGTAAGAAAAGATTAGCATCAGCTTTTCTCATCGACGCAGGGTAAATAATAACACGGATTTTTTCTTCGAGTGCAATGTTTATCATCTAATTCCTCCGAGCATTTATCATCGTAGTTCCATGATATAAATTGGGCGTATTTATGCTAAAAGGAACTATGTCTCACACAAACCCTATACACATTGTTCCTATCAGCATAAATACGTCCTATTGCACTCTCGGCTGAAGAAAAAGAAAAACGAACGGAAAACAATTGTTTACTTAAAAAAGGAAGGATAGATACAATTAATAGTACTCATTTCAATATTGGGGTCACGTAGTATAATACCTTCCATTCACAACAGATGAATAAAAATTTTAAAAACAACAAACACACGCTAGATTGATGTATTAGTCACCTATTATTGTAATCTATGATCGAAGCTAGAGCAGTGGAAATTTGAGGACTACCTTGATTTTCCAGAATTAAAAAAATTGAGAGAATAAATAGAAATTGCATTTACTTTTTTTTCCAATAAAAAATTGGTGGTAACATTATTAAACAAGACAAAAAAACCTTCCTACACCATTATGATGTAATTTGACGAGAAACTTTAAAATCATTATAGGTATTATGAAGACGGGAATGACCTTTAAAGTTAGATTTTGAAATGAAACACAAGGCAAGAGTCTCAATCCATGACCTATGCTGCCTTGCTACGGAAGAACGCCGTAAATGAACATTCGAGAGTTGCCAAGTTTCCCCGGATAAAACGTGTATTTTTAAGGAAAGTGATGCATATTTTCCCTTAAAATTTTCAGATATTTTAGATCGAAATGCGCACATAATTGTCTAAAAATTTTGGAAAATAATATTTAGATTTTTCCCGGTAAATTCTGTTTTTATCGGAGGACATTTGGTAACGTCTGAATAATATGGTGTTGTCCCTTAGCACGGCAGTGCGATACTCCTTACTGTAATCCATTATCAACGGACATATTAAAAAAAAAAAGAAAAAAAAAAACCCTTTCAATTTTTTTCCTTTATCATCCGCGTAACTGCACTAAAATATTCGTCAGACTGTTATCTTTACTTTATTCAATATTTTTAAAAAGCGCATTTTATACTTCATTGATAGGTTCAATATTTTTAAAAAGCGCATTTTATACTTCATTGATAGGAATGAAGCTAATGCTCCCGTGTTCATGACGTGAAAAAGAGACCAGAGCCCGCATGCATACTTAAAAAAGTACTACTTTATGAAATGGATTTCGATATTTATTCTCCCCACTCCCCCTTTCTCTCCCTCTCTTTGAATCAGATTTATCATACGTAATGATCTCGTGACCGAGCGCAATTGCTAACGACCAATTAATGGACATTAGCTCACTGGACGGAATGATCACCGCGCAACGTCAACTTCGACGTATTCTGCCGTGCTCAGGAAAAACACCGTATGAACATCCCAGGGTTGCCAAATTTCCCCTCTTCAAATGTTAAATTCTGAGACAAATAATGAATATTTTATCTGAAATTATCTGATAATTTAGATCACATTGCGAAGAAAATTTTCCGAAAAATTGGGAGAAAAATTTTCACGAGTTTTCCTGAAAATTCGTATTTAACAAGAATAAATTTGACATCGCACGAAGGTTCATGCGGCGTTCTTCCTTAGCACGGCAGTATTACAAGCAAGACCCCTTCCGGATGGGAACATCTAGTTCTAAACTTTAAACGTTTTACACTATCTAACTTTCATCGAACGCAGCTTAAAAATGATGAGGATGAAAAAGCCCGTTCAATTTCAGATGATTATAGCAAAAATGCAACCGAGTGAGAGGGATACGCATTTTCCTTGCTGTCAAAAAGCTAATTTTTGCCCGTTGCAACTGTCACTTGGGCCACTGAGCGGCATTACGGGAGCTACTCCATTTCCGCCAAGACGTAAGAATGTGAATTTAAAAGCTTGAAAAAAGAGAAAGGGAGAAAGCGGATACCGTGCGAAGACGCACTGAAAGCTCGACACGGCACCGGTGGACGGTGGAGTCCGCGTGTCAGTCACTCAGCGACGGAATCAGAGCGTAGCACATACTGCTGATCGGCTCTCGCCGCGAAATCGAAGCAAAAAAATAAACTCGATCGAACAAAAAACTCGACATTAGTGTATTACGTCAACACCAAACTTCTGACACATTGAAGATCACACAAGGAAAGGAGTGCAGTTTCGATAACAGTATCGCATGCTATATTTTTCCTCTAAAAAAACCCTGCCTTTAATACGTTGACTTTCTTTGTCAAATTTGGTACATGAATTCTTTGGTCTCGTGACAACAGAAGTGCGATCTCAAAATTCGGAAAAAAGGACGAGTAGCTGAAATGGAGATGTTGCATGTGTGAGGGATTTGCGATTTGACTCTTCATTCTGATGTAAAAATTCGTGAGAAACACGATGGTGCCACTGGTTTTCTCTGAAATCAACTCCCAAGCTTAAAAATAAGCTCTCAAGTTGAGGTCAAAATGGAGGGGATATCCCACACAATCCTGAGAGTCCACCTCTACATCAAAACAAACTCTCCATGCAAAGATAGGGAGCAAATACATTAGCAGGGTCGCCGTGTTTTCAGTTTTAGAATCCCCAAATGAAAAGGCAGCCC